CTACAGCATAGGAAAGGTCACTATCAACTAGTCCTGTGGGGGAAGCGTACACATACAGTCACGTTCGTAAGTGTTTGGACAACGACACGATTTTTGTGCAGCTTTGGGACTGTGCATTGCTACAGTGTATTTTAAATAAAACGTTCAGGATGTAAGTGAAGGTCAGACTTTCAACAAAAATACTCTATTAGCTGTTTGTGGATTACAGCCGTTCTTATCCACCGTCGCCGATTTTCAGGGAGTCCAAAGTAAATTGGACAATTTCCTGACAAGCAGTTTCATTGTTAGGTGAGGCGTGCTCCCTCATTATTTTATTACAAATTAAGAAAATGAGAAATCTAGAGTTGATTCGATAGCATTTGGCAGCTTTTCAGTGGAATATTAAATATCATAAACAATGAATGCACTGAGCAGCTCAGCAGCATTAAAAGGTCTGAAAGACCACAGAAGACAACTATGATGACAGATTTATTTCTATGGTTAGGTTAAGCATCTTCACAACATCTAACCAAGTCAAGAACATTCTTGAAGAGGTCGGACTGTCACTGTCAAAGTCTACAATCAAGAGACTCCTTCAAGAATGTAAATACAGAGTTTACAACAACCTGCAAACCTCTGGTTACACTGAAGAACAAGAGGGCCAGACTGGACTTTACCAGAAAATATCTGAAAGAGCCTACACAGCTCTGGAGATTATTCTTTGGACAGATGAAACCGAGATGAACTTGTACCAGAATGATGAGAAGAGAATGGTATGGAGAAGGAAGGAAATGCATATTATCTGTCAAACAACGCGATGTTATGACATGGGTCTATATGGCTTCCAGTGGAGCTGGGCAGCTATTGTTTATTGATGAGGTGACGCTATACTCTCTGCTCAGATTCAGCTAAATGCTGCAAAACTGATTGGACAGCGCTTCACAATATAAATTGATAATGGTCCAAAGCAAAAGCAGTCCAGGGTTTTTTTTTTTAAGGCAGTGAAACTGGATATTCTTCAATGGTCAGGTCAGGCACAACAGTGCAGCTTTTAGTTACTGAAGGCGGTACAGGCCTGGCATCTCAAGGGAAACTGAAGCATTTGATGACTACAAGGGATTTTTACAATTATGTTAGTTTGTCTTATTATCATCTTGTAATCTCTGGAAAAAAAAAAAAGTCGAAATTTCAACACATTTAATGCAACTTAAAAAAAAAACTGCTTTGAAAGTCTGCACTTTAATCCCATATTGATGGCTTGATTTACAAAACAAGGCAAAACTACAAAAAACATGTGTCGTTGTCCAAATACTTACAGACCTAGCAGTGCCCGTATATCTGGGGTGGTAACAGAGATAAGAAAAAAAGAGACAAGGCAGGTGATCCTCAATAAAAAGCTGTGACGAGGCTGCCGAGAGGCAGAGTGATAATGAAGGTTTCGAAACTGTTAGCTTGCAGGTGTAAACATTTAGGGAATAAATTAAACTGATTTTGAGTTAAAGTCTTCTGACTACAGATGTAAAAAAAAAAAAAAAGAAAGAAAAGAAGCTGGGCAATGCGAAAATCTTGTTATTTTTTTGTTTTTGTTTTTTCAGAGGAGACACATGATAGCAGGAAATGCACAGGTGCATTCATGACGGCTGCATTCAAGCCAGGTGAGGTCATGCATCCTGTGTCTACACTTAGTACCTGCTGAACAGCTAGTGGTGCAAAAGCAGCAGTCTACTTTGTGAGTAGTATGTGTTTTGCATATAGATTGGGTTATCAAATGACTGTCACCATTTTATTTTCCTCCTCAGATAGATCTTCTACTTGCACTCATCCTCTCTCCTCTACACTTGGCATCACAAATCAATCAACAGATCAGTTCCAGGGTACAAGTGTATAAACACAGGTACGTATTACACTTGTTAAATAAAACAAAATAAAATAATTTTTAAAAAACCCTTTAATTGTATGCAATGCTCACACTTGCAGATAAACACACAATTTTTAAATCGTTTACAAATTTTTAAAAGCATACCTCAGTATTTTAGGTAGCTTTAGGTGTTAAGATCCTCTATGTTTTCAATGCTTTCCAACATGGATGCATTTAATTTGGGATGCCAGCTTTTGGCAGCTTTGCTACCTAAATCTAAGATGAGCTATTTCCGTTGTTTTGACGTCTTCCCCTCACCTGACCGCTTTCTCTTGGAATATTTCTGCTCCCTCATCCTCAGATCTGTCCAAATATAAGCTAAATATCCTGTGTATTTGCTGCCGCTGAGCACACTCGGGACAAACCTGCGGCTTGAAAGCGTATATGCAGGTAGCGTGCTTCGGTTTGTGAGTTTATTTTACGCAGAACAAAAAGGCAGAAGAAAGACCACACAAGTGCACTGCATGCACAGTGTGCTCAGTAACTGTGGGGCGAAGACACGTACTGCAGAACACAGATGTTAAACTTCTTCTTATGGTTCACACGGCAGCACATAGCAAGCTTGGTCCCAGCTTGAGGAAACAGAGTATCTTACTTACTGCTCCTTATTCTCGCAGCCACACGTGTAGCTGACAGATGCACGTCAGCAGTCCTGCACACATATAGATTTGTAAGGTTCTTGTTAGCATTCGCACACACAAGCAATCACAGCTCGGCGTGCTGTGCCGTTCAAACCCAGGCACTTACTTTTCCCTCCTCTCTCATTTTGTTTCGCTAGGACGATTTGAAAGACATTTAATTATTGAAATGCAATTAATGCAGTACTCTGTGGGAAAAGAGAGAACACACACGCACACACACATGTATGCTAGTGCTGAAACCGTAGGCAGGCACAGGGAGGCAAACAGCAGGCTATCAGCGGGGATTAACCAGTGATTCAAATCCATATGGGATTAATACATTGAGATTATGACCTAAAAGGATACTCTGTTTTCCTGTTTCCCTAAATGAGGATTTAGAAAAGTCACTGTTTTAGTGGCAGAGATAAGCAGATGTGAGAGGTGGATTGAGAGAATGAGACATGAGAGAGGAACGCTGAAATATTTATTGCGGACTTTTGCTTTGCTACTCACATAAATGCCACATAGAATAGGTGATATCATGAGAAAAATAACCAAAAAAAAAAAATCATAAATGTTTTAATGCAATCTAATCCTACTGCAATAATTCCATCTTTTACTGCAATGTTTGACCAGATTTTTCTGTCTTTCTTTTGTCCACTGCTATTTAACATAAATAAAACAGACAGTAGGTATACATTTGACTTATCGATGGCCATCAAAGCCATCATGTACACACACATTCATATACAGAGATCTGCATTAAAGGAATAACAAGTGGTGTGTATGTGTGTTACTGTGGGGTAGGGATAAGGCAGGACCAAGCTACTACAATCTGCCTCGTTATTTCACACACATTCACTCAATGCGCCTTTGCCTATATTTCAAGGACAAGAGCCCCAACACATCGACTGAAGCTGATTTCAGTTCAAAAACAAAAAAAACAAACAAACAAACAAACAAAAAAAAAACATACAAGAACTACAACAATTTAACCATGCACCACCGATGAAAATTAAATAGCCCTGGGTAGTGGACACACGGGTAACGGCTTTAATCAGTGTGGGCTTGGGAAAAAATACGTTTGGCTCCAATGTGCGTCTCCACCCGCCCCCCCTATTAAAAGCCCACACATGTTGATTACAGCAATCATAATCCTTTTACACTCGTCCATAAAATGCCCCATTACACCTACTCATTCCTGACAGCTTAATAAACAGAAATTCCAGTGGAAAAACTCAGAAATATCACATTCTTCTGTTATCGTGCAAAAGCTGAGCACTTACGGTTTTCTTATCTCAATATGGTTCACATAAATCAGCACCGGCGTTGTGACTGAACCATAGATATGTATTTATATGTATTATTGCCAGAAACGGTTCTTACCGATAAAGGGCGTACGGTTGGTTGGGATGGAAGGATGAATAAGTGCGGTCTCTCTCTTTGCTGCTCTCCTCCGCAGCTCACTGTTTCTTCGTTTGCCGCAGACCCCGCCCACTCCACGCCGATTGGTCCAATGAGCCTTGATCAAAGAGTTTAGGCGTGAGGTGAAATAGTAACTGTCTCCAGCTTCCTTGTATGTCTGTGAATCCGTAAAGCTTCAAGTTACTCTCATTCCAAACATATTTTTTGACCATTCTGACGACAGCCTCTTGATTATTTTATGAAATAGCAAAGATGTATCACATCTCTCTCTCTCTGTTTTGTTTCTTTGTTTGTAAAAGCTAACCTCCAGCTTAATAATGGTCCTGGAGGTTAGCGGTTAGCACAGTTTCCCTAGCAAACAACGTTCTGCAGTAACGCACAATGCTAATAATTGTTAACAGCCGCATCCTGTCAGTATTAACGTACCTTTAATTAAGCCTGGTATTTCTGCGCAACTGACAATATTTTAGCTTTTTGGCAGCGAACTCTCTTGACCGTCGTGAAAACCGTTAATTTTGTTCTTCTGATAGCTAGCTACCTTATCATTCGTGTCATGTTAATTGTAGACGCGTAGACACAAATCTCAACTGTAGACGCATATACACATTCATATCAATATTATATTATATGTTTTCTTAAACATGGTTAAAATGTGTGCGCTCATACCGCAGATAATATTCGTCTCATACTCGACTTAAGGGTTAAAAATCCATTACCTGTACCTACCTGGGAATTGAAGTCTATTTCGGTGTCCCCGGCAATAACGAAACATTGAGGGCGTCCATAGGAAGAACTACAAACAGCCTGGAGCGACGCCAACGGGCAGCTCCCAACACCGCCCAACCTGGCTCTCGTCTGCACTTTTATTAGACAATAAAACTTCCTGAACGAGACGTAACCCAAAACAAGACGGGAAGATAACTCAACAACACGTCCCCGCCTTCATTCAGCTTTATTTAGTCGCACTTCATAAGGAGGCAACTGGAGTGCTAACAGAACAGATTGAATCACCTGCTCTCGAAGCTGCTGTTCTAACGTTAGTTCGTTACCTATAGACGTGATTTGCTGTTTTCCGGTCAACGGTCCGCCGCTTCTCTCATCACTGGCAACCATCTTTTATCGGGTAAGGCTGGTACCGAAAGTTTGAGCTCTTTGGATTTGTTTTTAATGTAGTTTGGCGTGCCTGCTAACCACCACATAAACTTGTAAAAGACCTGTGTTGGAGCTGAGAAGCAGGGCAACCTCAAATATAGTGACTACTACAGCGAGGTCGGTACCCTTTCAGAAAAGGGCAAAATAAGGGAGTTCAAAACAAACAAAAAAAATTATAATACTTTGATTTATAAATGTCAATAGTGAGTTATGACCGTAACCTTTTCAGAGCAATACGCCTCTCTTTGATCCAAGGGTCATTTCACAGAGAACTCTAAAAAAAACAAACCACCCCGGTGGTTTTAAACTGCCCCAGCTATTCATGCTGCTCTGAACACTTTTTTGTTATTCTCCCCCTTTTTTATTTCCAGGAAGAGCTACATTAGTCTATGCAAATGACTCAGAAGGGGCTGTAATAACCTTTTGTCCTGGCATACACTGAATGATTGGTCTGCATTCCATATATCTGTGCCAAATGCTACCATTACCTCTCTGTCTTGGCCTGCACTAAGATTTGCCACACCTTAGTCATTTATGGTTCAGGGAAGTAACAGAGTCTGCAGTGTTACCTTTTTTGGCACATGTAATTGTATATGACGTATCCCTTATAACTAGAAACCAGTGCAATCCTTCCTGTAACCATGGCTGTTGTAAACACTGATTAAACCTCCGTTTAAAATCCTTATCAGATATAATAATGTCACACTGGACCTGTTTACAGTTTTACTCTCTATGCACGAGAGAGTGCCAAAGGGCAGAACCAAGCATCTGATAAACCTAAGAGCACTCTCAGTTATGGCAGAAAGTCACAGGGTGACGACTTGTCTCGCTCTTGTTTCATTCACCCGTGTGAATAGTGAGCTCGTATAAAAAGGCCTTATTTAATTAGGGATTTGTTGTACGAATGGAGATTGTCACATAGAGCCAATGTAGGTGAGCAAAAACTGGTCCTGTGAATTCCTGTGTCACCAACAGTAAAAGAGACAGAATACAGGCCTGCAAAAGAGGATGTGCTGGATCTTCCTCTTGTTATTATTTATGACTAACCTGGTCTGGGGGGGAAAACAAGCTAAAAACCAATACCAAGGTCGTATATTTATCACACCGCCTTGATTTATTGCGGCAGTCATTTTCAGAAGAGCGTGGTTTTCTGGTACAGGTGTGACTCGTGCCTGTTTTGTCGGCATTGCACCCAGTGGAGCAGTAAAGCACAGTCTTTTAAGTGGTGTGGCTGTTATGGAATGATCATATCTGTGACTGAAAGACTTTCTTGGAAGAAGTAAACATGACATGAGGTTTGATCTTGTTTAATTGCACAAAAATTTATAGAATTAGAGTGCTCCAGTTGAAATTTTGTGGAACCAGTTCTCTACCTCCTCACTACAATAGAGACATGTTTAAACAGGATAAATTTAGCCTGGTTGTAAACATGGATCATTTTATTTATTTGTCTAGTTTTTTTTTGTTTTTTTTTATCCCTTACACAGTTGTTTTTGTCAACTACCATCCATCTTTCCCTGCTTGTTCTCCCATCGTGCTCTTTTCTTCTTTAGATCCTTGTCTGCTCCCATTCTGTCAGTCTTCATGACTGATTGAATGCAGTGAAACCGGCATCAGTGGACGAGTGCACGCACAGGGGTCCATCGATTGGTCAAGGATGACCATGGGAGACATGAAGAATGATGCAGCTGCTGCCTCGCTGGCTCCGATGGCTCTCTACACCGTGATGTTTCCTGTTTTTAAGGAGGTAAAGAATAAAAAAAAAAAAGAGAGTTTGTGACCTTAGAAGAAAATTGGAATGAGACTTTCGGTAAATAGTCAGTTCAAGCAGGGGTTGTATTTAACTGTGGAAAGGCTTTTGTGTGAGGTTGCAGAGTTGATGGTGTAGCCGAATAGAAATACGGAAACGGTAGTGTTAACAAGAACAAGTGGTGGAGAACGAGCGGTAATGAGAAGTGAGCAGGCTGCTACTATTCATGTTGTTCAGCTGATGGTAAATCTGAGTGACTGTCAGTATCTCTGAAGGGTTTTTTTTTATCCATGTGAAGCATCTCTGTGTATCACACCTGCACGATTACAGGTTACACTTTTCCATAGTTTTTTTTTCTTTTCTTTTGTTATCATTAAAGACCCACAAAAGGAGTTGAAAACAGTTTTTAAAATGGGGAATTTATCTGTTTCCCAACAGCCATTTTGTCTTGATATTCACTCACCAGATAATTCATCAGATACACTTTGACACAAAGAATTAAGGCAGTTCTGAAGACATAGATTCAACAAGATCATGGAAGCATCCATAAGGGGAATCTCCCATTCCAGCACCTCCCGAAGGTGTTCTATTTGATTAACTTCTATTTCTTGTGGAGGCCATTCAAGTACAGAGAACTTATGGTCATGTTCAAGTAACATGGTGTGCTATCCTGGTGGAAGTAGCTATCAGAAGATGGGTACACTGTGGTTACAAAGAGATGGACCTGGGCACCAACAATACTCAGGTAGGCTGTAGGCTGTGGGGTTTAAACAATGTTAGTTGGGACATGGAGACAAACTTTTTTTGGTTGTATACCGCAGAACTGGTCTAAAAATGATACATGTCTGTTAAGAGCTTTAATTGTTGCAAGTAAGAAAGGTATAACTACGAAAGGGTCCTTGCAAGATATACCGACCTTGTCATTATGGTGGGAAATTACGCTAGAGATTTATAGGATCAGAATCAGAATACTTTATTGATCCCTGGGGGAAATTATTTTTTGTTACAGTGCTCCATTTTAAACCAACATTAAGACAAGACAGACAGTACACTAACTAAGAATAGTACAATATATACATATATACACATACATACTTCACTCATAAATAAATAGTTGGAAAAGAAACATGTGTAGTTGTAGCAGCAAACAGTGTGTTAAGTGGATGCGTTGTACAGGGAGATGGCCACAGGCAGGAAAGATTTCCTGTGTCGTTCAGTGGTGCTTTTCGGTAATCTCAGTCTCTCACTGAACGTGCTCCTGTGACTGACCAGCATGTCATGGAGTGGGTGGGAGGTGTTATCCAACATTGTCTTTATCTTGGACAGCATCCGCCTCTCCGACACCACCTTGAGGGAGTCCAGCTCCGTCCCCACAACATTACTGGCCTTACGGATCAGTTTATCGAGTCTGTTGGCATCTGCGACCCTCAGCCTGCTCCCCCAGCATGCAACAGCATAGAGGATCGCACTGGCCACAACAGACTCATAGAAAATCCTCAGCATTTTCTGGCAGATGTTGAAGGACCTCAGTCGCCTCAAAAAATAGAGACGACTCTGGCCCTTCCCGTAAAGTGCTGTGGTGTTTTTAGCCCAGTCCAGTTTATTGTCAATGTGAACTCCAAGGTATTTATAGTCCTCCACAATGTCAACATTGACCCCCTGAATTGAAACAGGGGTCAAGTGTTTCCTGGTCTTCCTGAAGTCCACGATCAGTTCCTTGGTCTTTGCCACGTTGAGCTGCAGATGATTCTGCTCACACCACGTGACAAAGGAGTCGACCACAGCCCGGTACTCTGTCTCATCATCCCTGCTGATGCATCCAACCACCGCAGAGTCATCAGAAAACTTCTGAAGATGGCAGGTCTCTGTGCAGTGGCTGAAGTCTGTGGTGTAGAGGGTGAAGAGGAAGGGGGAGAGGACAGTCCCCTGTGGTGCCCCTGTGTTGCTGATCACCTTGTCAGACACACACTGTGGGAGACGTACATATTGTGGTCTTCCTGTCAGGTAATCAACAATCCAGGACACCAGAGAAGCTGGAGGGATGGAGGAGGTAACAGCTTATGTCAGTGACAGAGTGTGTTGGTTCCGTTCGTGTTGGGATAAGTGTGTCCTATATGCCAATACTCATAAGCCGGATCTTCTCCTCAAAGCTTGAAACCACCAACCTAGCTAATTGGTCACTCCCGACTGTTTTTTGTTGTTGTTGTTGTTGTTGTTGTTGTTTTTTGGTTTTTTTTTCTCTTTTTCTTTTTCTTTCATTTTGTTTTTCCCTTGTAAATTGTGTTAATTAATGCCTGTAATCACCTTCGTGAAGTAATAGTTTAGAAATAAAGAATTAAAAAAGACAAAAAAACAATGTTAGTTGGTACCAAGGGTGCTAATATCCACCAGCCTGAACTGTTGATACAGGGGAGGGTGGATCCATGCTTTCATGTTGTTCTGACCCTACCATCCCAATGTGGTAGCAGAAATTGAGACTCATCAAAGCAGGCAACATTTTTTCCCCAATCTGATGTTGACCAGTTTTGTGTGAACTGGAGCCTCAGTTTCCTGTTCTTAGCTGACAGGAGTAGTACCCAGTGTGGTCTTCTGCTGTGTAGCACATCTGCTTCAAGGTTTGTTGTTTTGCTCTTCTGCACACCTTTTAATAAGTGCTTATGAGTTATTGTTGAGTTTCCTTTAGCTCAAAGCAATCTGGTCAGTGTCCTCTGACACAAACAAGGCAGTTTTTGCCCAGAAACTGCCACTCACTGGATATGTCTTATTTCTTTCTTTTTTGGCGTGGGAGCTGGGGAGGGGGGACAATTTTCTGTAAACCTTAGAGATGGTTGTTTGGGAAAATGTCAGTAGATCAGCAGTTTCTGAAATACTTAGACCGCCTTTTCTGGGAACAATTATCATGCTATAGTCAAAGTCTCCTAAATTACCTTTCTTTCCTCATTCTGATGCTCAGTTTGAACTTCAGCAGGTCATCTTGGCCAAGTCTTCATGTCTCAATGCAATGAGTTGCTGTTATGTGATTGGCTGATTGGACACTTGCATTATCGAGCAGTTTAATGAGAGTATCTAATAAAGTGGCTGGTAAGCGTTTAAGGTCGTTTAATGAAGGTTCTGTTTTGTTTAAGGCAAGGTCAGTAACACCTGTATTTACCTGCACCTTTAAGCTAGCTCAAAATTAATGCTGTCCATCCCACGGACTTTTCTCAAATCTCGTGGTGATAGATCCTTCTCTGTGGCAGG